CATCACTAAGTATTGCTCACTGACCTTATGCAAGGTGTGACCATAATATAATAGGCTTGTTTTGAGAAGCTACAAAACCTTAACACCCAACAAGTAGCCTCCTTCAGGGTGACCCTCCAAGGGCTAAAATGGGATCCGGACTTCACCGCTCCTCAGCCCAGTTGTAGCACTTTTTGAGAACATCCTTCTGAATCAGTGAATGATTCACCAAATGTATCTTTAATAAATAAATAATTTCTTGCTTTAGATATTTCTTGCTTCATTATCATCCCTCTTCATTTAAAGAGCTAAACTAAAATTTTATGATTGTATGCCTTATTCATTGAATTTTGCTTTGAATGACTTAAAGCTATTATTTCAAATCAAACCTCTCAGACAAAGTGAAGGTTTTCTACTACTCCTAACATTATTCAAAGGACTATACACGAGCAATTACAGAACCCCAGGGGCAGTTTGGGTGACACACCTTGTTGGAATAAATTTACAGCCTCCCACACAGACAACACTGAATGGGCATCAAACTCAAATTCTTGGTGCCCAACAGTTTACTGTCATACTTCATATGAGACCCAAGAGATAACTTTTGAGTAGTGTTCCATTTTAGCACCGATCACTTTAGTATAAATTTGGCTGATACTTATTTTCATTTCTTTGAAACAAAGAGTAAAGAAAACTTACTTTTAGTTTTTTTAAGAATTTAAGAAAATCTACTCTTTTATACAACTTACTCAACTTTAACATCTTAGCTCAGAATACATGAATTCAAGGAAATGTCATCATGAAGTACTTTTAACAAAGAATTCAATACTTACGCCATGATACCTGAGAGGTGAAACATTTCGGCTGTTATATAGGACAAATAACTGTACAGGAAGACAAACAGTGGCTCGATCACTCGGATGTTATGTGTGAAACGAGTAGTAAACGCCGCTATAAATCCCAGGAAGATGCCAATCAACACCCCACCAATTCCCACAACAAAGAAGTTGGCAATTCCAGCAAATACGTCAATGGTCTCGATGGTTTTCATCTGGCAAAAAGACTTGAACAAGTTGTACAGGACCTGTGGGGGAGAGGGAGCACACTGTCAAGACCCTTTCCAACTTCCCCATTATCATTGTGGCCACAGAAATAGCCACCTGGCCTTCTTGTAAGGACACTTCTTCTGTGTACTAACGTGATGATCAACGGCAATAATGCACATTTATTTATCTCATATATCAACACTGTCTTTAATAGCTTTAAACAAAAAGCTTGGATCAAAGTGTCTTGTCAGTAAAACTACTTCTAAAAGTGAGGGAGAGGAGACTTCAAAATTATCATACAATTTACTCCTAAAACATTATTTTTCAATACCATCTAAAAGATTATCTTAAAAGACTTGGTTGCCATCACCATGCCCTGCTTGTATTACCGATGCTTGGGAAGTAGTGTGTCACAGAGAAAGCTGGTCAACGTTGCTGTGAATTTCATTACCTTTCAAGGCACTACTATGGGGTCATTCTCTGGAAGGGACCCGCCCATCAATACAGGTACCCCACCTGAAGATATCCTCCTCCCAGGTCACTGAGATCCTCACTCCTAACCCCTCTCCTCACCCAGCCCATATATATACGTGTCTGGTATAACTGAGACTTGAAGGAATCTTCTTAAAGCAAAGAGGCAGCAACCTATGTTGTGTGTGTGTGTGTGTGTGTGTGTGTGTGTGTGCTGTAACTTCATATTTTGTCTCTCTAAAGTAATGAGCCTACACTGTTGCTTGGTTTCTGAAAAATCTGCACAGGCTTTACATAGTCCTAGTTTAACTAAGCCTTCAAAAATGCTAGGCACTCCACATGTGCTGGGCGACATGCTTTCAGACTTGTTTCCAAGGGTCACTGTGTCAACCGAGACGGGAAGTGATGGCTGACGCCCTACCACTTTTTTCACAAAACCAGCAAGTAAAACACAAGTCCAGCAGGTGCCTGCTTCTTTTCATCGTGACATTTACAGCTGGAATCTCCAGGAAAGCCAGCCAATAGGACGGTGGGGATGAAGGTGTTTTAGAGTACAGGCCGTGCTACACCTTTATTTGCGTTCTGAGAAACTCAGAATTGAATTCATTTGTCCGTGGTCACACAAAAGATCAGAGGTGATATCAGAAGCCAGTCTCCTCCTGACCTTCTGGGTAAGTTTTTCAAGGTTCATCCATGGGAGAATGAGTCAGATTCTTCCTCCTGACCAGAGCGTGTCCTGCCAGAAAGCCATCCACTCACTTCTCTATCACTCCTTCAGAGCCCACCACATCACAGGTTTTCTGTCATTTTTTCCTCTTTTCTACTGGATCATAAACTCCTTATGGTCAAGGATCATACCTTATCATGATTGCCTTCTTCCCTGTTGCCTAGGAGAGACAATAAATGTCTGTGGTTTTGAAAAAAGCAGTGGATTATTACTTAGAAATGAGGGAGCTTTTCCCTTCTCCTCATTGTTGGTGTAACACTCAAGAGCATTTGGTATTGTACCACCAAGAAGGGACTTGAGTAAGGGGTAAAAACAAGCAACTCACTCCCCTGAGGACTTAAATATCTTGACGGTATCATCATTTGCCAGAAAAGAAACTGGCTTCAAGTAGCAGCCACTTCCTACTTTCAACCAGGGGCTTGCTGCACACATAGGATGTCATCAGCATCGACATGCCACAATGGCTTCCTGAGAGGGGATCAGAGATGTGCTATATATACCCCTTGCCTCCAAACAGCCAAGGCCAAAAGGTCACAGTCACTTGCTTCCTGAGGGGAGAGACAGATTTCCCAGCCAGCCGTCTCTGCATAGACAGCCTCCCCCAGGCCACGTGGGCACTACAGTTCTGTTCCCAGACTCCATGGCCTCTGCCATCCCTGCCTCCAGCTTGCACCAGCAAATCTCATCTCTCCCTTGCTCTAATGCCCCCGCCAGCCACCACGACACTTACTTCCCTCAAATACTGTAATTCCACGTTTCACTCTCAAGTTTAACATCTTTGACTGCCTGACTTTGGGGAGGCTCAATACGCCTGGAATACTTTTTTTTTTTTACTGTTCTCCAACATCCTTCAGTCCAAGAGAGGGTCTCATCCTATTTATTCATCTCTGCCCCTGATTTCCTTTCTGTGGTTTCTCCTGGCAGAAACCCAGCCCCAAAACCTCAGGAAATTTAATTCTGTCTTCCACGGCCCAGCTGAAGCTGCCTTTCCTCTCAGGAGCGTTCCTGGACCCCTATAGCCCTTGCAAATCGCCCTTTCCTCTACCCTCCCGCAACACAGAAGATCTCCCAGACCATTCAGCATTTGCTGACAGGCCATCCTGTATTGCTGGTGCTGCTTCTGGAGCGCCTATCTCATTTCCAGCCAAACGAGGAATTCCTTGTGACAGCACCCAAGTCTCCTTCTGCTCCCCTCTCGCTCATGTCCCCATCCCCACCCCAGCTAGCACACTGATGAGGCCTCCAAAGGAAGCTCAGCGACTCAAGCCTAAGGAACAACTGGCGTACAGTCATCATCTTTCCAGAGCCATTTTCCTGGCAACTCAATCCATCAACTCTATCCAAGGTACATTCTGTGTTTAACATCCTCTTGGGGTTTGCAGAAAGCAGAGCTGAGTCGCAGCACTTTACTCTCAGCACACCGGTCAGAAGCTCCAGTCTGACCCCTCCACTGCCTCCGATGCAGGGCAACGCTGTGAGGACGTATCTGAGATAGAGGCGTTACCTTGACAACCAGAAAGTTTTCCACAACCTCCCACCTGTTTTACAAGGAACCTGATACCTAGTGATCTGCACAAGATAAAATTCTTTGAGTTACAACTGCCCATAACCCATAGTTGATTCATTCTAGTTAAATTCTTTAATTTTACACAAGGGAATCTATACAGAAAAATGTTTTGGGGGTTATAATGTATATATGCACATGTATATGTATTATGTATGTAGGGTACAATTGTGTTTCTAGTTGGTCTGTACAAAACTGACCTCAACTTGACAACTGTATTTTTAGAAGACCGAAATTCCAGGATGCCTGATTGCTAAACTCTGTAATGGGCTAATCTGACACCTGAGCACTTTCAAATCTTTCTATTCATTATTATCATGTTTAAAACACTTATATATATTAAAATTAGAAATTATTTTAAACTTTGATTTAAAATGTGCAATAATTCAGTGAAATCATGTAACACAAGGATGCAAACAATACACTTTATCAGAATAGCTCTGTTTCAGAAAAATTGTTTTCAGGTCACTTTTTCTGACATTAAAAACAAAGAATAATGATTTTTGCCTAAGGAATTTTAAATCTATTCTGCTATTTGCAAGAGCAAAACTAGTGTTCCACCTCGTCACTGTTTACCTTCCAGCTTCCTGAACTTAAATTCCACTGCACAGCACATGATGGCCATTAGGGGACATCCCTAGCCTCTTTCCGCAGAGCCTGCCCTCCTTCACCAAGCCTAGTTATTGTGACAGATTGAGAAGACTCGTTAGGTGTTCTTAGAAAATGTATTAGAATATTCAGTGGTTGCATTAACATATTCTAGAAATGATGCTGGAAATTACCATGTGAGCGTTAAGTCATTTGATGATGGACTACTGTGGAAACAGTAGGACTTCTCAGATAACTGAGAACTTGAACAAGCTTTGCCTAATAAGGGAAATTTTGAAAAGTTTTCCTAAAATATTTATTATAAGGGAAGGCCCAAAAATCCTATAGCCCTAGACAATAGCACAAAGGGTTTGATTGTAATTTATATATGATCAATTTCTCTTTGCTTTGAGACATTTCTATGGTAGGTTTTCTCCCCTTCAACTCTTCTACCTCAATATTGAATTTACCATGATTTGGGGAAGGAGTTAAAATTGCACTGACCTACAATTTCACTCATCCTCCAGACTACATTTTTACCATTAACTGTCTCTGTTCAATCTCCACCCTTCTGATTCCAACTCCTAGTGACTCATCATTTTCATTGCATGCAGCATGGTCCATATTTTTCATACCTTTCCATATTCCATGAGCTCCTTACCCCTCTTCTAGAGATAAGACCAGATGAACGAATCAAAGAATCTTCCATAAAACATCTCGACCTCTATTCTCTGAGGGTACCTGACTAGGAGGCAAAACTATAATTTTTTACACCATTGTTCTAATTATCCTAACACCTGGTCAATTCAGTCCACTATTTGGCCAATTCAGTGAAAGAAATATCGGGTGGTTTATTTTCCGGCGTTAGGTAGGCAAAGCCCTGAGGCATCTTGTGGGTGTGGTTTTAAGGGTCCCTGGCTTTTAGCCCAGGGAGCTAACCTACCACTGAACGCTTTTTCATGTGAAACCCCTGCAGGCGTCCGGACTCATGGCTTTGGCCTTGTAACCTGGGCTCCTCCATCCACAGGGCAGCCGTGCCCTTTCTCTGTCCTTGTCCTCCTTCCTGTATGGTAATGGCAGGCTCTCAATTTGGCCCACTGCCCTCTGAGTCAGCCCTCCCTCTATCCATAAAACCACATTTGATGGCTTCGTGCCTCTTGAGAGGAAGCACAGGATGTGCCTCTGGAAGGCCTGGGGCCTTTGCACACTTTAAACTGTGGTTTAGCCAGATCCTTTCCTGAGATCTGATTCTTGACAAATTCAAAGAATGGACCACTGAGATGTTTGAATGAGCAATCTTATGAGAGAAGGAAAAGCGGTGTAAATGCATGGCATATCATTCTGAAACTGACCTGACTTTGCTACACTGCCCCAGAAAGAATGCAGCAAGGTGTCATTATTTCATTGTAAAACTTGCTTTACACTAAAGAGATCCGAGAATTCCACACTGAAATGTCCGCACTCTCCCTCAACAAGGGTAAAATGTAATATTAAACATAAGTCACAATGGAAAACTTGATGCCTCCGGACATTAGAATGAATTATAAAATGTCTCCACCGCTATGGCAGTTTCCCAGTTAAAATTTAATATTGGTGGGTTAATGACTAACCACTGTTAATGAATAATGGAATAAATGAAGTGGATTTTATTACTTGAGTGAGGTAACTTATTAGTCTTAAAATAGCTGTCTTAGCAGCTATTCTAAGAAAGGGGATTTCCTTATCAATAAATTATTTTCTACACGTAGTTTTCCAAAACTACACATGGAGTTAATGGACACCCTTAAAGATGATATTTTATTCAGTCAATGGGTCTGAATATAGGCTAACAGAATAATGTTGGTTTCTATGTTAACTTTTAAATGGATCAGCAATAACGTTTTAATGATAGGAACTAAGGCACAGGGTAATATAAATTACTAAAGTTACTTAAATACAATTTACTTAATCTTTCTCTGCCTCAATTTTCTTATCTGCAAAATAGAAAGAATAACTACTTCACAGGTTGTCATAAAGACCTGGCACAACGTAAGCATTCCCAAAAGGTTAATGGCTATCGTTATACCACCATTACTGCCACAGGATCGTGGCTAACATAAAACAGCATCACTCACGCTCACTAACTGGTTAACCAATCCAGATCACCTGAGTGTCTCTTGTGGTGGAGGACGTCTGTGTAGGCCTGTGGGTGAGGGGAGAGGCTTCCTCACCCCTTTTCTCCACACCTCGCCTGAGCTCAGAGGGCAGGGCGGAGGTAATTTCTGCCAACATTAAGATCACAACAGCCTCTGACTTTAATCACGTGTTAATTAGTGAGAATTAAAAATAATTTGCATTTTCTGAGTAAATACCCACTCATGGGGAAATGGCAAGGACCAGAAATGTGCTGGCTGAGTGCATGATGAAAAACTTGCCTAAAATCGTAAAATAATACATAAACCATCCCCAGAGAGAGAACAGCCCTTAGTAGGGATTGTCATTTCACTTGTGTTATACACGTCGTTCACAGACAGCGTTACTCTCACAAAGGATTCTGGGACCTGAGTCCTTTAAATTCTGATCAAAGACCATCACTTTCGAAAATGCCAAATGAGAAAAACTCAGAGACACAAAGGTCGCAAGCACTTTCATGCTCCTCTGGCATTAGCAGGGCCTTGCAAGCAAGCACCAGCTACATAGTTTGCGCAATCCAGTGCAAAATGAAAATGAGGGGTCCACTGTATAAGAATAAATAAATAAGAAATAAGAATTTACTAAGCATTTCAAGACAGCGGCAACAGAGCATTAAACCAAGTGATGGGCCCTTCTTAGAGCAGGAAATGTGATTGCACAGGTGCACGCTCTGCATGCAGGGTCTCACCTCAGCTGTCACCGTCAGAAAGGCAATGCAGGTTGGTGGGTGGCCCCCACGTGTTGGAGCGAGGCAGCGTGCACATGTTACTCACCACTGTCACTGCATCATTCAGCAAGGACTCTCCAAAGACCAGTATGTATAGCTGCTCGTTGACGTGAATGTTCTCGAAGACGGCCAGCACAGCCACGGGATCCACAGCGGAGATTAGGCTGCCGAAGAGCAGATTCTGGAGCAAAGTGATGTCGCTCAGGCCAAAGGCTTCAATCTGGCAGATCCCAAACAAAGACACCCCAATGCCAATGGAATTCCACAGTGTCCCTACCACAGCATACCAGAAAATGGTGCCGAAGTTCTCAAAGAACGGGCGAGTGGGCATGAAGTAGCCTGCATCCAGCACGATTGGCGGGAGGAGATATAAGAAGAACACATCCGTCTTCATTGCAGGCGGGGACTTTTCATCAACTCCGAAAATAATCCCGCCCAGCAGAAGTCCAACCATTATAAGAAGGCAGCTCTCAGGCACGATGGTGGGCAATTTGTGATAGAGATGGAAGCCTGTTAAGGAACAAATAAACACACAAAATTTAAGATATGCAGGAATCACACAGAAGATAAACTGGTTCTCTCTGACAAAACCAATAGGTTCTATTTCAAAATCTCCCAGGTCAGCATAATTGACCATAGATTTACAGATTTACAGATTATGGCTTTACAGATTATGATGTAAAAGTCAGATGATCCCCCGAAAACTATTCACAAAGTACACTTAGGCGCAAGTTTAACTGTATGTCAGAAGTTGAATGCTATAGGTGTACAGTATTGACACAGTACAGTTTTTGCCTAAACTCCAATTAAGTTTTCTTAAATAAGACAATGCAACTTTATATTTGAAGCAATTTCATGATTTCTAACACATATTCAAATGTAACATCTCATTTTATCCTCATGAAAACCTTAAGCAGTAGACAAGGCTGTTATTTTCAACCTTTCCTAAAATTCAAGTGGAAACTGAGGTTCAAAGAGATACAGGGTCTTGCTGAGGTGGCCAGATCACATGCCAGTTTTCAGATTACTGCTGTCACTTCTGGTATTGAGAGGAGTCTGTAACTGATTCAATATTTTTAATTTCGGATTCTTTCATTTGGAATGCTGAATATGTTTAATTTTTCAGATGTCTGCTCCTTCAGAGATAACCAAATCAATCCATCAAAGGTACACCGGGTAGTTTCTACATATGGGATATAAACACGCCATGGTCTTCAATCTCAGAGTTTCCAGTCGAGGCAAAGGAAGAGTCAGTGTTTAGGACTGACTCCAACATAGGGCACCGCGTGACAAGCCCCAGTCAAATGCTGTAAGACTAGAGAAGGAGGAAATCTGGTGAGGACATCATGGAGGAGGCAGCATCCGACAGGGCTTCACTAAAGGACAGACAGGCATGAAACACATAGAGAAGGCATGAAGAACTCCTACGAAGTGAAGAAATGGAGGCAAATACCTATCTCCTTATTCGAGGTGCAGCCCAGTGTGGCCTTAAGGCAGAGACCATGTTAGGGGAGGCCTGTAGCAGAAAAAAAGGAGGGGAATGTGGGTCGACCAGCGCATGGGGCAATGCGGGAAGTTACTTCCCACAGGAAGGTCACTTGACAGGCCTTAGGTGAGGATGGCCTTTTACAAGGCAACAGTGAGTCACCCTGAAGGCACTTCATCCATTTTAGAATTAAAGCAGCATACGGAAATTATCTGAATTACAGGTACATAATATTAAAATGACAGAATAAGTCCTCAGAAACTTACAATTCCAGAAGTTTTAATAAGTAAATCCTTAGAAGCCTACAAACTGTACCAAAGTCACAGCATGAAATCATAGCTTGTGAACCAAAAAAATGTAAGCATAATAATTTGAAGAGATTTAAAGAACTAATTTCTAAATAATAAAGTGAACATCTTTACGTCGTATTCAAACAATCCCTCAAGCTTTGGTTATTTTATTATTCATATTATAGCAGGCTCCAATAATTGTTGGAGAATGAACGTATTCAACTGGTTCGGCCTCTCTTTACCCATGAGCTCTGGCCTGAGAACCTCTCTGGTACACAGAGAAGTTAAAAACATCCACCAAAAACTATATCTTTGTAACTTCTCCTCACACTGGCTGGCTCCTGCTTCTACATGTGACTTTCCCTGGATGTAAGGATGTGCTAATAACAGCCTCCCTGGCCCCACAGTGTCCAAGTGCAGTCAGCTCCTTGCCCGCCATCTGACGACCGCCCCCTGGCTTCGGATCCAGGTCCCTTGTCCCTGCCTGTGGCTGTGTTTAGGTTACTAACAGGCCCAGGCCCAGCATGCTTATCTGTAGAATGGGGACAAGTACACCCATCACATAAAGAACTATAACAGTAATCGAGCTGTCGGTTGCACAGCACTAACCACTGTGCCTGCGACATCATAAATGCCCCTCAATTTTTGTTTTCTCTTCCTAGTCTACATGAAGAAACAAGAGAAAAGAGTTCTGAAGAAATGCACAGAAGCAAGGGAAACTGGAAAACTGGCGAGGCCAGTTTTGGGTGGCTCCCACTTCCTCTTCTCGCCTTTTTCTTTCCTCAGGTACCCAGTGCTCTCACATGGGGCGCCATCTCTGCTTCCTAAGAATGGAGGACGGAAACCAGGCAGATGGGAGGAAGGATGAAACAGAGATGGCTTCAATGCACCACACAGGCCAACGGCTGCCCCGCTCCTGCGATGCGACTTATCCTGACCAGGAACCCAGGCGAGCAAGCAGGAACCCACCCAGGAGAAGCAAGTGAAACGCAGCAACACAAACGCAGGATGCAGTGAGACGGAACGGCCACTAGGAAAAAGGGCTGGAGGAAGCGTGGAGGAAGTGAGGAGAAAATCTGGTAGTAGCAAATATCAGAAAAGAACAGCAACAGATCAAGAACATTTGTTTAAGAAATCACGTATTTATATTTTATTTTAGTTTTTAATTATTTTACTGGGGTCATATTGGCTTATAACATTGTGTAAATTTCAGGTGTACATTATTATATTTCATTTCTGTACAGACTGTATCGTGCTCACCACCAATAGTCTAGTTCTTATATGTCACCATACATATGTGCCCCTTTACCTCTTTCGCCTTCCCCCAACCCCTTCCCCTCTGATAACCACTAATCTGTTCTCCATATCTATGTGTTTGTTTATCTGCACATATGAGTGAAATCATATGGTATTTATCTTTCTCTGACTTATTTTGCTTAGCATAATACCCTCAAGGTCCATCGGTGTTGTCGCAAAAGGCATGATTTTGTCTTTTTTATGGCTGAGTAGTATTCCATTGTATATATATATACCACATCTTCTTTATCCATTCATCCCTTGATGGGCACTTGGGTTGTTTCCACATCTTGGCTATTGTGGATAAGGCTATGATGAACACAGGGATGCAGAAATCTATTTGAATTGTTGATTTCATTAAGGAGACAAGAAATAACAAATGCAAATGTGGAGAAAAGGGAACCCTCGTACATTGCTGATGGGAATGCAAACTGGCGCAGTCACTGTGGAAAGAGTATTTATATTTTGAAAAGGCTGCTCTCCTTTCTTTTATGAATGCTTAGGCCATTCAGAATTGGTCTGAGTGACTCTTGCTTGAAACTGGACAGCAATTACCGAATCTGCCCAGTTCTTCCACAGGCGAGAAGGGATTACTGCAGGGTGGCCACAAGAGATCTCAGTCCACTGTTTCTTGGTGAACATAAGGAGAGACACTGAGTTTTATAACACACCCTCTGCTGGCATAAAAAGTTTTGTGTGTAGGTGTCTACGCTTTTACGAATGACAGGAGCCACACTTATCAGCGAAATAGTCAAAACAAAACAAAAAATGGCTTCTTAAAATCCATTGTTCACAGAATAAAACAAATAAATCAACATTTACAAGTGTGTGCCTTTATGGCTCTCCCCTACCTCCCCCAAGTATTTCTTGAAGGGGAAATGAACTTGAATAAACAGATTTTGCCTTCCCAGGGTCATCATCCCACCTAACATTATCAAGAAATATATCAGTTATCAGGAAACAAGTCAAATGAACTTTTTGATGATTTTTACAAGGCTGAACGTGAGCTACTGCGGGTACGACCTACTGTGTAGTCCAGGGGTCTGCCAACTTTTCTCCGGAAAGGCGCAGAGAGTAAATATTCTCAGCTTGCCATACTTGACTCTGCCGTTGCAGTACAACAGGAGACAGAGATAATAACTAAATGCAAGAGGGGGGCTGTGTTCTAATAAAACTATTTACGGACATGGAAACTAAAATACAATTTTATATGTCACAAAATATCATTTTTCTTTTGATTTTGTTTAACCATTTAAAAATGTAAAAGCCATTCTCGACCCACAAGCCATACAAAACCGGGCTAAGGGCCATATCTGGCCCCCTGGCTGTGGTTTACTTACCCCTGGCTTAGTTTGTTCTTCGCATTTCCTGCTAACTTCCATTTATAGTGCTTGGGGCATTGTACTGTGCCATTCACTTTTTATTACTACCATATAAAAGTCTGTGAGAATGGATGCTTTAAAATTTATTTTATTTTAATTGCAATAGAAATTCACTTAGTGGGAAGGGGAGTAGAGGTCTCTTTTACAAAATACACAGTTAAGACATTCCTCTTCTGGAGTGAATCTATTTTAATTTCTCTCTGCCTACACTGTTGAAATTAACTGAGCTTAAAATCTGAAGATCTATGCATAACTAAGTGCAATGCAATTAATTCACTATATTTTCTCATTATGCTTAAAATAAGCTATTCGTTAAATTCTGGGAAGAGAGCAAAACGAGAAACAACACAGGAAGCTTCCAGATAAGCAGGTTCAACAAAAGAGCAACAATGTGAAAATCTGAATCAGAGAAAACCACCACCATCACCACCAACAAAAACCATATAAAATAAGTCTCAACAAAAAAAAAAAAAAACAGTTCTAATTAACAAGTTGTGAGGACAAGGGACCCCAGTGGAGGCAAGTATGGACAAACCCCTCGGGAGAGAGGCCACTAACTCTAGGTGAAGATAAACACAAACTTTCTAATTAATACTCCATATTTTAAGAGAGCTTAAAGAAAAAATAATGACATTTATTATATCCACAAATATTTGCTAAGCCCGTGTTAAGTAGGCGACAAGTACCCTCGGGAACAAAGTTAGCACAGGCAGCCTTCGAGACTGCCTGACCCAGAACTAGCTTCTGGGCTGGTCATTCGCAAAGCAACTCTAGGAAACGCTGGATTTACAGTAAAGAATGGTCTAAAATAAATCATGCCTATTTGGGAAAAAAGGTAAATATTTATGAAATACATTAAATTTGTTTTTACGTATTAAGAGAAATAACAAGTTCATTCAAGCCTAAAAATGCTGATTTTATGTATCCCAATTCACATAGCAACAAAATACACATTTTTTTAAAATAGAATGTCAATAAGCAATAGAGAGAACCAGAGAGAAAAATAGTAAGAAATACCATTTTTATCAGATACATCAAGAAGCTGTGTCACTGCAC